ATGACTTAATTTTGTTTCCTTGCCTGCTCTTTAATTGCTTAGAATTCTTGTATCCACTCAGAACTCCTACGTAATTTCGTATTATCTACTTGGTTTCTATGTGCATCCTGAGTAAAACTCACTCATCAAACTATTCATATTATTATTACATAACTTCTTTTAACAACTGTTTGTGACAACTCATCACCTTTGTTACTACCCTAATTTCATTAATGCCTAATTTACTTGACTTGTATTACCAATCTTCACCTGTTTAGTTGAAATAACCATAAACAATTGTAATTTTGTTTGACAAACTTAATGTACACATACATACAAAATAACACATATGTATATTCGCGATTGTACAGCTAAGAATATGAATTCGCCGAAAAGACTCTCTTCGCTGATCTACGTGTTTTGTTTTCACTAATGCCTGAATTGGGATTATCCAAGGAGACCACTGTTTAAAATATCTCTGTTGATGCACAGGTGAACAAGCCTTAAAGTACCTTTCTGAATGCATCCTCTATGAACAGTCTCCAACGACTTATAAAGTCTCAGATAAACAAGTCTCACACTCTTGTGTTGAAATCTGATTTATTGCTGACATTTATTTATTTTTCATTTTTGCACTAAGCAAGCACTAGTCAAAGATGTGCGTTTTCATGTGATTAAGTTAGCTCGTGACAGAACGCCGATCCAAAGAATGCTATCTATGATTGGCGTTAAATCCGTAATGCCTAATTCTTCTACGCCACCTCTCAGCAATCACACGTTTGTGGAGGCAGAACACAAACGCCTGGATCTGCTTAAACTAAGCACATCATACATGGAAACGAATTTTCTTAAGCATAATACGATTAAAAATAGTTCGGTGAATGGCGCTACAGTAGAAAAGAGATTGGCTGTAGACCTAGACCCTTCTGCTAACGATTCTCACACCAACTGACACGCCACAGTATGTCACACCCAAGTAGTCCTGACCTCATGAGTTTAAAGAATGTGGGTATCGCTTAGCCCACACAGCCAGTGAAAAATAAGCGGGCAGCGCTTCACAGTAATTCAGAGATTCATGCTCTCAGCCAACTCTCATAAACTGTCAATGTCCAGCTCTTACTACGCTGGACCTCACGCTGTGCCTGGAAGACTTTCAGAAACAATTCGTAATAACCAACGCAAGAAACCAGGACACAGATTGGCGACTCGAGAATCCTTTATTTTTGCGCCAATATGTAACCAACAATAAGATTATTACACACAAGGTCTAAGAATAAATGTTATAACAACAAATCACGATAATACTTCTCATGGTTTTCTATCTTCCACTGAACAGCGAACGATGAGACGATGACTGTTGGATTGATGACTCCCGCGAAAAATATAGAGTTGGGTTTGACCAAACAACCATGAATTGATCGTTCAATCTTCAACTACATTGACACATACCTTGCTCCCAAACCTCTCATCAAAGACAAATATTCTTAAGACTGACAGGCATAAAAACTGTATAATAAGACCCGAAATTCTTCAAAGGCGTCTGTCTAGAAAGGTGGACTGTGGTACCATCACAAATGAAAGATTGAGAGACCTGAGTATAGAGCATCGAACAGTAATGACGTTAGGCCTAATAATTCGAACCGGTTTAGTCTGCTTGGTAGGCCATACCCGCCTAGTTAAATGCCCCCATCTAACGTGAATGCCCATCGAGCTATCTGGAGCTTTGCTGTACCGGTATTGCCTGCTTTTTTTCGGGTTTACAATGCAACCACCAACATATCGAAACTGCTCACCACTCTCAAAAGGTATCAATCCCCAACACAGACGGGGCAGCTGATATAGAGACGCTTAATTGCTGCCCGAAAGTCCCCGTACATGACGGAGACAATTCTCTTCCTCAGCAAAAATTATTCATTTTATTTAACAAAATCACTATTTCTCTCTCTCCTGACAATGAATCTTGCCCACGCTGAGACTTACTGGAACACGCGAGTACTGCTGACCCTCTCCTCACCTCTTGCTTTACTTGAGCTTCTGTGGACATCACATTGTTATCTGAGAACAATATGACTAAATCTCACCATCAGCCACTTCAGGACATGGCGAAATTCTGAAAACATGACCCAGCTAATCTTAACATAATTCCCAATGATGCCAGATCAGCTGTAAACAAAATGACACCCATCCAGTCCCCACGATTTATAAGCCAACCCACAGAACTAATGACTATTGAGGCTTGGAGTACAAGTGAACTAAGCGAAAAGAGGTGGTGAGGGATGCATTATCGGTGTTAAGTCTGACTGAAAATCTGTACACTACTATGGCCTAAAGGTGAATATGTGTGATACATTGTGGCTGACACTTCACATCACTAAACAACAAATTCCGTTATTAGGTTGCATCTTTCGCCCACCAAACCACGACAGTGGACTGCTAAATGAAATAACTGAAGCTTTCCACTACACTCCGAAATTACGCTTAACCCACAAGATCACTTGAGGTGATTTTAGCATGTCTTAAGACTCATGGGAACCAAACAGTGCTGATCTCCACTACAGCAAAGTCTTATACGCAGTGGAGCTATCTAGGTGAACACAGCGTGCTCAAAATACCACCCGAATTCACAACATACTGGAATTTGTGTTTTTGAAGACATCACACTATCCACCATTCACATCAGTCACCCATTCCCAGATAGTAATCATAGCATCATAATCTGCACATCAGATGCAAGGCTTCACTCATAAAAAGCCTGTAATCCACACGAAACATTCACGTGCCTCTGAAAAGCTAGCTGGGATGCATGCACTTAATTCATCCAATGCCTGGACTGAGAGGATTTATTTCCTGATAACAGAGAATAAGTCCGTATATGCTGGTTGCTCCAAGTATCTATTAAATACATTGCGTGTGTAGAGTACATATTTTTTTCTGTAGCCTTGGAGAATCCCAGGACCAGGAAACTCGAGAGAAGCAGGCTATTTCAACTCTTGGAAGGTGATGTATTGGTCAAATGTAAACCCTTTCACATAAGCGTACTTATGTCTGAATATTAGTCTGAGGCATAAGGTTAGGCTATTGATAGGAAGGCTACGGTCTTGAAGATGGCGAACAATCAGTCATTGGAGTCTCTCACTTAACACCTTTTCTTGTAAGAGTTGGTTATCACAAGGAAGTGCTTGCTTTTATTATGCTGTCACTACTAGCCATTGTCATATGTCAGTGCTTTTGATCACTTTGTAACGGGAAGGGTGTGGGCACACCTGCATACTACTTCGTATCACCCTCGGACTGACGCCCAACTCATCACTTCTCATTCGAGTTCCACTTGATCTATGACCTGGTGTGTGGTGTCATTCAACGGTCTGTTCAGCCTGGTCTATTCTATCTGTTTCCTTCTGCAATATTTGTTGAGTAGGCGATAGATTCTTGGTTTGTTCATTGCCTGACAGAGTTCATTGTTGCTTTTCCTTGCTGGTCGACTGTCTGATCTTCAGTATCGGGACAGCGAAGGCAGCCGTTCACAAAAACTGCAGTAGTCTGTGAGACATACTTTTCGTGACGTGAGTGTTTGTTTGAACCACGCTTGAGCACTGATTTGACATTGTTCCTAACACCACGCTGATCTCAGACCAGTGAGGTTGTGTTCATCGTTTTCGATCCTGCCTTTGGTATCCTCACTTATACCCGTCAGCTTGTAGTTCAATCGACGGTGCCAACGTGAGTATGTCAAAGAAGTGACTTCTCTCGTTGGTAGGGACTGGTTCTTGTCGTTGTTGTTGGCAGTCGGGTATCTTCATCACCTTTGTCTTCTCTGTGTTCGCTTGTGAACTCCTGTCTTCTCTGTCAACCTATTCAGCCAACATGCTGGTTTCCACTTATGGCGCTTCGAGTTTCTGTGTGAAACGATACCTAACAAGTTATTTATTGTATCGTTCAACTGGCAACTGACAGATAAATCTAAATGAAAGATAGTAGTAAGTACATCCACATCTGTCTAACTGATTTCGGTTGGCGATGCGGAAATCCAAAATGAAATCAGTTAGAAATCCACAAACCACCAACACCTGAAGATTTATAAACGGAGCAGATCTCTGTGATTTACTGAAGCGCTGTTACTTCTTATTGGTCTAGGTGCTCAACTTTCAACCATTGAGGAGTGGCTGGTTTCGACCTCCTCCTCCCTCTTCACCTATCGACGTTCCGATAGGCCCGGATGGTGTCACTTTCCTTCCGGTACAATAAATGTGTGGCTCATTAAAAATGTCTGAAAATGAAAGCGTGTGTCGATGAATCTCGGTGGCTATCTATTTGGGACCAGAACTTCTTTCGGTAGATCTAGCACTGCTTCTAGAGTGCCAGGAATACAGACTAGCTGACTGCTTTTAGCATATAACTTTGCACAGATATCCAACAGTTCGAATTGCCACTCTCCCTCCATGCAGAACACGAAGCAAGAGAACAAGGTAAGTAAAGACAGATTCAAAAGAGGGAGAGAGAGAGATAATAAACAGAAGTGTCAGTGAGAAAGAATAGTAATAGTATGGAAGAACAACATAGCTTATCGCATATGACAAATCACGCAGAGTGACAGCATCCGACCCACCACTGAGAACGATTTTCAGCCATATCACCAATTACCTGTCTCCAGCCTGCATTGGTTATTACTATCCCGAGGACTCCGGTCAGGAAGCTAGTCTACACCTCTCTACGTGTCTGGCTGGCCTAAATTAAGTGTTATGAATTGGATTGGCTGATGAAGCCATGTTTTCGTTTGATTGCCACTAGCTATCTTCCAATATGACCGTATTTCAGCTAAACTTGCTCCTGGTGGAAGGCGATAGTTAGGTACACGTATCACGCATTGTCTTAGCTGTCTCGATCGACACAGCTTCATCAATTGACTTTTACCTATAACTACTTAACACTCGACGCCTAACCTCAATATTACTCACCCTATTATACTGCCTAGCAGGGAGGGGGATGTGGGATAGATTGCAGACACCTTTGATCAAACACAGCTAGTCTTTTCATGTCTTCCACCTTCAACGGGAAATAGGAATTCAAGCTATACTCCTATCATCCAACCTTCCCTCTTTCTTCGGCTTACAACTCATTCAGTCAGATTTAAGAGTGCGTCGGCGAGGACCCAAACCCAAACTTCCCATACCATTGAGAAACATCGATGCAAATGGAACAGAACAGAAGAACACAAGAGAATTCCAAAACGTGAACGCAATTTTTTCTCCATGAAGATTGTCAGAAAAAGAACAAGGTGTACAAAAATATCAATGTCAATAACGAATATGTAAATAAACACAATTGTACGTACGAGTGATACACATCACTCACTCGGTTTAGTGCCCTGTCAACAAGATTTACAGAACTCATGATAACTACCGGAATACAAAATCTATCGTGTATCCAGTGTTCGGATTTTCGTCGTTATTGACAAAAAGTCTTCTTACGTAGAAAGAGAAACACATGATTGATGAATTGTCTGGTGAACCATTTCAACGATATTAACAAAAAATGAATAGACAAAAACAAACTCTTATTAAACAAAATAGGAATAATAATAATAGTAGTAATAATAAATGTTTTAATATCAGAAATGAAAATACCTCGCCAAAAGAAAATATAACACAACAAGAAACCTTGACGTCTGTATCTTATGTGTATGTGTCGATGAGCAATGAAATGAAATGCAACAAAAACGATGCATCGTTGATCACTGGTTGAAATATTTTGAAAGAACTACAAGTAGACGCTACTACAAGTCTAACGATAGTTTACTGACCTTGTAGGCACAATTATGTCACATCAAGACCTTTTTGATGATCTATATTGGCAATAGTAGTAGTAGTAATCGTTGTTGTTGTTCTTGTTGTTGTTATCGTCATTGTTGATATTATTATTATTATTATTATTATTAGTAGTAGTAGTAGTAGTAGTAGTAGGAGGGGGAGGAGTAGTCGTGTCCTCATTGACATGGATATGCTTCAGAGACGATGATAAATCAATTTCCACTTGGTTATTACTCGTAGGATCATAATTTTCTTTACAATCTGATGATATATCACCATAATTTTGATTATCACAATAAACTCCACCGTCTAGAATAGGAGAAAAGGGGAAAAGAAAAATTGTGAGTCAGATCACAGACAGAAACATTCACCGTTTTCCAGTGGTTATCTGGAGGATTAATCATAACAATAGTAATAGTAATAATAATAAAGTATGAAACAAAAGATGGTCTCCTCGCGCCCTGCCTTTTCTCCACGTCTACGCGAAATAAACAGACTAATTCATCATCACAGTTCGAATACAACGCATTAAAAATTCACACAGTTGTTCAAAGTGATAAAATTTCACCATACAGTCAGTCTCCTTCAGGAACCGAAATTATTCACATCAAAATGCATGAGATACCATAAATGTTAATCAACAAAGCAAGCATAAATGCATTAAACTATATACTACTGATTGACTGCGATGAGTATTTTTATACTACAGCCACACACACACACACAACAACCACTGGTAGTGCGGCTGCTAGGCAATCAGCCAAATCAAAGTGATGTAAACATACCACAAGCCAGTCATTCCGCCAGTGTGACGCCGAAACCATCAGCCAGTCGGTTCAAGTCAACCAGTTCGAGTCAACTCAAAGACAGACAGAAAGAGCCAAATCAGTCCAAATACAACCGATTTCTGAACACTACTATTCTCATTTACTCGTGGATATGAGTGTGGTATCCAACTACTCATCTAGATCAATCAGTAGTTAATATATGTGTAAAACTTGGGCACTGTGGTAGTAAGTAATTCCATATTAGTTTGTTTATTAGATATATCACACAGTGAGTGTAACAGTATTATTTACAATAGGATGGGATAGGATGACAGTTTTAAAATCCAATGTCATAGGGTATAGGGAGAGATTGATAAAAGAAGCTTTGTTTATCGAATCAACTGCAAATACATGCCTGCAATAGGAATGATTCATCACCTGTCCCTGATATCTGGAGACATGGCGGAGAGCGTATGAGGAGGCGATGAAAGTTTGTGGGCAATCAGGACACACACACACACAGATGAATGGTGAGGGTATAATGCATTGCCCCAACCCCCGGTTACATTCACCACAGAGTCGACCATTCCGTTAATTTTGTGGACCTCACTACAGGCACGCACCTACATCTATTCACTTTAAAGAACATCGAGGAAGACTGAAGAATAGGATTACAGAAGTTAGTGGATTTCAAAAGGACGTCATCTACAACAATCTAGATGCATTCAGATATAGGATGACACTCCGACACATGTGTGAGAGAAAAGTACCCTGTTTAACAACTTCATGCCTTTATTATGCATTATTTTCATTAACATATGTATTTTTTACCTAAAATACGCCTTTTTCATGTGACTGCTGAGTTCCAATGACTTTGGTGTTTGGAGGCTTAACCCTGTCCTTGTCATATTTATTATTTATTTAAACGCAGAAAAAACTTCGTACAGTATGGCACCAAGAAAGATGCACCACACAATAATAATAAAACAACATAGATCAAAAGAAAAAATATAAGTAGAGAACGGACAAAGGACTTCATCTGGAAGGAAAACGGTCATACTTAACAAGTTCTAACAGTATTCGTTAACTGTCATCGGGAAGGGAAGAAAGAAGGAAATTGCAACACGTTCGCCATTGATTACGATTCTTGGCCATATTTGATAGCGTTTCAAGCCATCGATTCGAACTATCTCGAGGAACCCAACCAGGGAGTTGTGACGCACCAACCGATGCTAATCTAGCACAAACATCCTTCATCCCACGACCTCATGTCATGGACTGACCACCCCTCTGCCTTTTCCATCCCGTCCCAGGGCTGACTAGCGAACAGAGGCCTGTACGGAGGCCTCTGGGATAACATTCGAAGCACATGTCCAAGCCACCGGAGCCGGTGTTTCCAGATGACGACACTCAATGAATGGTGATCTCCACTGTGTTCAAACACACGCTGCCGAGCCTCAGAATTACTCACGCGATGATGCCATCGAACGCAAGCAATCCTGCGGAGACAGCGATGATCGAACACGCAGAGTCGCCACACATTCTCAGCCTACTCGGAGAGGCCAGGTTTCACAGGCGGAGAGCAGGGCAACCCGCACCGAAGCACTCTATACCCGACCTTTGACAGCCAAGCTACCATCACGACGGCGCCAGAGGTGGCTCAAGTTGATGTATGCCACCCTAGCCTTCATTATACGGTTGGAAATCTCATCCGTCACCCCTCCCTCCGCCAGCACTCACACAACTACCCAGGTACACAAACTTATCAACAACTTCAAGCAGTTCACCTGCAAGAGTGACGGCAGGTACAGGCTCCTGCCAATCTTGTAACAGTACTTTGCACTTAGACGGCGCAAAGTACATACCATACTTACAAACACTGATCACCAACTGATTAAGTGCGATTTGGGCAGCCTGCATGCTATCGAACAGTAAGACGATATCGTCTGCATACTCGAGGTCGAAAAGATCTCCAGGTAGCAGATCTACACCACCTTCACGCACATCCTTCAAGCTGACTCAAGAGTCATCGATGCAAGTTAAAGAGAAATGGAGAGATGCAACCCTGTCTAACCCCACTGTTGTTGGGAACAGTGTGAAGTTGGTTGTATGCCCCACTCTACCTGAGGTGTTTCTGTATAGGCTTTCAGATGTTAACAAATTTCTGGTACACCTCTCTCTAACAGACAGTTCCAGAGCACATTCTGTCCAACGAATCGAAAGCAGCCCTAATATCAAGAAACACAACGATCGTTGGCCTGCAATACGTATGGCGGTATTCCAACAACTGACGAAGGGTGAACACATGATTAATGCATCCACGACCTGGATGAAACCCAGCCTGCTCTTAGCGAATCAATCCCTCACGCATTTTGCACAGCCTGCGAAGCGAGACAGCAGCCAATATTTTAGACGCGACTGGTAGCAGACTGATTCCCCTCTGATTATCACATGAACAACGCCGACCCTTTTTAAAGATGGGGGACGATAATGGAGTCGATCCACATTTATGGTACACTCTCAATCTCTCATACCTTCCTGAATAATCCAGTTAGAGCCATTGAGAGAGTCTGGTCACCATCTTAATAAACAGCCGGGAGTAGGTTGTCTGGGCCGGGTGCCTCAGGGTCGTTTAAGACTTGGAGTTTCTCACAGACCTCAGCTTCGGTGGGTGGGTCTGTATTAACCGACCAAGGAGCACTGAGGCTAATGACAGCCGATACTAAGGCTGGTGGCCAGCTAAACTGTTCCCCGAAGTGCTCTGTCCAGCGTTCCAGGCGTCTTTTCAAGCTGGTAATTGGCGTGCCATCTGCCTCACAGACCGTCTCGCTGACATCTTGTTCTTTGGTGCCGGTGGCTCGGATGAATTGGAACAGCTTCCGACTGTTGCCAGATGCAGCGGCTAACTCCATCTCAGACGCACGTTCTGACCACCAGGTTCCGCAGTCCTTACGTAAACACTGTCTTATCTTGCGCGTGAGCACCGATAGCTTATTGTTGTATTCGCTACCCACCGGAATGGACCGGCGTTCATCCAGGAGTTGCAAGGAACTCGCAGAAACCCAGAGGTTTGTAGCGGGGCATTTTTTCAAGCAGCAAGCGGCTGCACTCGCCCTTTTCATGGCACTTTGCACATGAAGCCAATGTTCATCTATACTACTTAGGGGGTTGCTGGCAAGCATTGATTGTAACTCATTCTTGTATTTCAAAGAAGTAGCACGTGCTACTAGTTCGCTCACATCAACGTTTAAACGACGCCTTTTATGAACCCCACCAAATCCCAAGACGAACTTGGCACACACTAAAGCATGATCGGAGTCCAGGCATGTGCTCCAGAAGGAGCGAAAGTCTTGTATGCATCCTCGCCACCGGAAACTGACATCAATATTATCAATCTGAGTCCAAACTTGAATCGCAAAGGGAGGACGCCAGGTAGCGCTACGGCGATGGCTGTTCCGGAAGTTGGTGCTGGCTGGTTGTGATCCACGCAAAGCTGCAGAAGACCGTCCCCATTATCTGACCTGCGGCCATGTAGACCTCATTGACCACCTAGACGATTCTCCTCTGAGCTTAGACGCCCCACCTGTGCATTCAATTCCCCAGCCAGCACTACGATATCCCTCCGACCCGCCTGTTTTAAGAGATCGCTCAGTTGGTAGTAGAACTCATCCTTCATTGCATCCGGGCTGCAATCCGTCGGTGCATGGGCAGAGACAACAAATAGACACCGCCTATCTGGCCTACTACTCCTAACTTTCGTATAAACTCCCAGCTTCACAGCACATAAACGACTGTTAATGGGAATCCAGTCGAGCAGTGCAGCTTCGGCTCTAGCGCTCAGTGCGACACCCACACCAGCTACGTTGGATGTAGATGCCACAGGGTCCGCGGACAAGCGCAGGTGGTACATACAACTAGGACTTCCAGATGGCGAGGATAATCGAAGCACTTCACTGGGATCTTGAATGCGGGTCTCCGAAATACAGCAGACATCGATAGCGAGGCTTTCCAGTTCTCTTACCAACCCTGCCTGTTGTCCGATTCGCATCACCATCCGAACATTGTAGGTGGCCAGCTTGAACGAGGCACGCGGTTTCAGGATATCTGTGTTAGATGTCGCATCGGGGACAACCATTTTGAGGGCTACTCACTAACGTCTCGAAACGACACAGATGGGCTGGAAATCTCGACAAAAAGGAAAGGCTGTCGAAGGTTAAGAAGTCAAGGTTAGCAAAGATAAAATGCAGGAAACTATGTATAAAAATAAATGTAAGGTAGGAAGGACATAAGTTACTTGAGGCAATAATGTTACTTGAAATCATTGTTAATAGCGCACGATGAGTTTCAATGGGAGTTTGTTCAATGTGTGAGGGCTGAGATACTGCCAGGGCGCCCAGACCGAAACAGGTGGTTTTATAAGGGACCACCCCCAGAGCCTTTGACTTACAGTCTAATTCGCAAGGCAGCGGAGCAGCGTCAGGAGCCGCATTCCCATGGTTTCCGGTGTCCAATATGGGTTCATACGCCATTTGATCCAATTAGATTCTGAAGCCGATGTACCCCATAGTAACTGCTTTTAGTCTATCCGCTTTCCAAACAACCTTCCTGACATGGTTGGACCTGCAGGAACATGAGTCCCAGCCAGTTTAGCTTCTTGGGTCACTGTGGTATTCAAGCTAGACCACCACGGCATGGTAGCAGCTGTCGGTTCAGACCATAACAATCAATACAGAGATATAAGATTATTAAATAAATAAAAAGGGTAAAAATGGTGAAGAGAGCTGTTACCAATTTGAAATGACACTCACAGACAAGATCAGTTCAATCACTTACACTGATATCGATCACCATAATATCCACCTTGTTGTTCTTGTGTATTATAAAAACCAAGCGGATAATGATTGTGTGATGATTTTGGGAATTGTTCACGTACGTTATAATAGTTACGATAGCAGTAACGATAATCACCACTATAAAACAGACCGATAGGAATTAAATAAATAGGTACAAAAATTTGTGGATAGTACTGGAAGTAGTTGGGGTAGTATTGATGATGGTATGGGAAATCATGAGATCGATAGAAACCACTTCGATCTGCCCACCTGGCTGCTGCTGCTGCTGATGATGATGATGATATCATATATTTCCCAGCTCTCCTTCTTGTTGGCGTACTGCAATAAATCATAACACTAGCTCCACCGCGACTTGTACCAATGTCACCCTCACCATCACAAGCACCTTCACCACTAAAAACTTGACGACGTCGACGTTCGCCTCTTCCACCTCTACCGCTTGGCTGATGTTCACCTTGTTGCTGAATAAGCTAGTTATTGGAGTTATACAATGAAAAAAGAAATGCAGTAACAAAGTGACTGGTTGGGAGAATCAAATAACCTACTGGTAACGAAATGAAGTCATTTGAAGAGGTATCAATGCTACAGTACTGAACTACATCGAGTCCTAGTTGGCTTAGATATAGTGAGTGAAGTGGTGCAGCGTGCCGACCACTTCACTTAATTGGGATATTGCACCAGCATCAGTGGGTTTAGCCCTGATGACATCTCATAACGGATACACAAGGTTAGTGTGGCATTCGCCGACTCACGCCCTCTCTGGCGCACACGTGATATCCAGCTGTCAACAAACGACGTGTGAACTGCACAACACTCCCCTCCGTCCTCCTTTATTACTATAATGATACATAGCCATTGAACGTGAAAGAAATGTGTGGAGATTGACAATTTCTATCTCTGTATTGTTTAAAATACTTACTGTTGACTGTTGATATGTTTTCTTATATGAATTGCATAAGAATTCCGCAAAATACAAATTCCTGATTTCTGCCCTCTCTGTGTTTTGTTTGGATCCTTGTAATTCGGTCATCTCGAAATACTAATATTCCTACTACAATAAATTACTACAAAATGATACAGCTAATCCCCTTTGATCATAGGTGTCTGTGATCTACCTCTTACCTGTCAAGGCTGTATAATAGGCTGAGTAATATTTAGGCGCCGAGGGTTCGGTAGAAATGAGCACGGGAGAAAGAATAATAACAGAGGTTTTATTGAGCATGTGAGATAACAAACAGTAAATCCATTTGTCCCACTTCGAACGATTCTCAGTCACATCATCAACAACAGTTTGAAATGATAAAAGTTATGTGCATAGAAGCAAAGAACTTCTACAGATATTGTCGTGCACCGACATACCGAAGAAACCCACTGTAGCAATTTCAGTGGAAACAGACAGATCCGACTTATTTAAACATACGCACATCACCAAGACCGTATAGTACATGTCAGACCCGTCAGGCGTCAAGATGCTGGGAGAAAAAAGATTAATAACTCTCTACTAGTGTCGACATGATGTCCTGCATCGACGCGATGCTCCCAAATTCCACAGCCCACATGCCTAATACTACAGTACACCCAACGTAACCAGCGTACCGCATGAGTATTTCAAATCAACTAGTAATACTGACAGGAAAAGTGAACATCTATACATGGCCTCTGCGACTATAGAAAAAGTACTTCAAAAATTTGCAGAAACAGTCAAGGTCAATCAACGGAACATTACACACAAAGATGAAGCAAATCAACTCAAAAGAAATACAATCAACAGAAATGCACGCCAGAAAGACAAGTAACATCGAATACCCAACGAATCCAGGGGATAACAAAACACGAATGCATATGTGTCATTCAGAATGGTTTCCAACTATACCACTCATTATCTCCAGCATCTCGAGGACCCACAACAGGCAGTATTCGCCTCCCTACGTGTCTCACTCAAACCCACTGTCAAACTATTCATGCATGGATGACAGCATTTCCACCAATTCCACAACCCCAAACTCTCTTACAACCTAATCCTATGTCAGCTAGCTAACACCGCTCAACGAGAAAAACGACGGTTCGCCATGCGTAACACATGTCCTTCTAGACATCTCAATCCATGTGTCAAACGAATGACGGAAAGGCTTTCCTACTTCTCCCTCGCCTTCTCCTTCTGCTTCTGCGCACAAAACGCTTGCACTGTGAACTTCACCTTTCCCATCAGTGAGTAGCCAGAAATCAAGTTATCCAACACTTACAAAAACAACTAGCCCACTCATAAAACTTTTGTAAACTTATGTAAAAGGCAGTTAAAAGAAGTCGTCGATTCTCATGACAGTTGTAAGATTGACGACAGTGATATAGGAATTAAATCACAAATCAAGTATCTTGGACTTGTTCTCTCTTCTGATCTCTCCTGGTCTTCCCATGTCTTAGCGATCTCCAGTAAAATATTCCGCCTGACGTTTTACATTAAGAAGTTAAGGCACTCTGGTATAACTCAACCCCTCCTCTTACAGTTCATAAACTCTTGCATCCTACCTATTCTTATTTATTGTTCACTCTCATTTTTTTAAAAAGGACTATATCACAATTCTTAGAATGCTGAATACTGACAGTAGGGTGAGTGGTGTCCCAGTGGACCATATAGTTAACTTCGTCGTCGATAGGCACTTGCCTTCGTGCAATAAATTTGCTAAAGGAATTTCGTCTGTCTTGGAGCATCCACTCTACCCTCAGCTTTCACCTTGCATCTCCTCAGGTAGAACAAGAAGTAACTTCAGAAAACTGTATCCTCGCACGTCTGAGTATAAAAATTCTATGATACTATACTTGGCACGTATTTTATGTGATGAAAATAGTGTCAGGCAACAATTAACTAACCTTTCTTCATCTAGTAAATAAACAATTTCCTCCATCCATCCCTATGTACCTTCAAGTTTCACTTTTATTATTTTTATTATATTTATGGTCCTGTTGCTTCTTTGCTTGTTTTACTTTCATAATTGAAAACACCAACTTATCTCTATGACTGCTGTAATTTTTGTTTTTCCCCTCACCATATCATGCAAATAGAACACTATATTCAATATTTTTAAACATGCTAGGATTTCTATACCGCATCGACAATACTGTGTGAAACAAGTCCACGGCAATTTTCACTTGTATAATTATTACCTTAGCTGTTATCATTATGATTATTATTATTATTATTTCCATTTTATATGCTGCGTGTTTTTGACATTACCCCTATTGTAAATGTGGAAAATTTTCTGTGTGATTAATTTTATTTATAATTTGAGGAAATTAGATGCAATATTATGATTAATGCTGAAAATTCCATTCTGTATCACATGTACTGTTTTTGGAATAAAGTGAATCATTATTATTATTCATTACCTCAGAGTTGAACATTTAAACAGAAAACCAATAAACACGACCATAACTCTTAACACCGATTGCATATACCTACCCCATTTGATGGGATATCCCCAATATCAAGCGCCTCATCTGGTCGACCGTTTTGGTGTCTTCCGTTTATGCCCTCTCCACCGCCTCTACGACCACGCCATTTAGTACGTCCACCTCTGAATTGTTTACAAATATTCTCCACCAAGTGACCATCTTCACCCGTAGACATAACTCTTGATCCTGGAAAGTAACTATTGACTTTAGAATGATTAGTACGTGCACGAACACCCTGAGAAGGAAGAAACGAAGCAATATACTGACTGATAAATAGACCAACTACATTATTCGAAAGGAGTAAATTAACCAATCGACACCACATCAGTTAACAAACTGACTAAAAGCCAGAAAGTGCTGGGATACGTGTTAAGCATCCTGAGTCACCGCCTTACCTGACGAGAAATCTTAGCCCACATGTAATGAGGTTGCAAAGGAGGTAAGGGTATCCAAATATAAAAATGGAATCATTCGATAAAACTTTCGACAGTCAGTTAGAGACATCCATCTTAGAAGGGGGTGTAGACGGAGTAACTGGTTCAGCTTCTCGGACTGTTAAAGACTAATGGCTTCATACTGTTGCTGAAATGGCCCCTAATCCTTCTCCATGGCCTACATCGATCCGATCTTTGTGTAGTCTCACAGATCCACTAAGTTCTTATTCTTCTCCGTATTACTATCCCTACTCCCATACATTTCTGCTCAATCTCTCTACAACTCCACCTGTGTGGTTTACATGGAGTGGGCAGCAAGTTCAACTGCTGTTCCACTTCTATGCTGAAAGTCAGTCACTCTGAAATAGTCACGAACAGCCAAATTTCGCCTCTTTCAGTTTAACCACTTCTAGGGGAGCCAGGTAAACTGGGTATGCGATTAAGCACGTCCATCGTCGAATTTCTGAACACCACCCTCTCTTAGTCAAACGACTGGACTGAATAAAGTGATATGTAGCCTGATACTAATTGTCATCTCACCACCACAACAAATCAAGTCGACACCTGTACACATAGCTTCAAGAAGTTATTTATGAATCGTGTTTCACACCCAAACTCCCCCATGCCCTACGAGTCCAAATTCAACACATTATACAGGCGATCGGAATACATTCAAATACACTAAACCTCTGCTTCCATTTCAATTCGTATAGCCTCTCTTTCTTTCCTCTGACCATTCACACACTACATGTATACACAGTCTTACAACTGGATTTTCCTCCATTTGTGTGGCTTGTACCATTTGACATCACCGACACCTGTTATTTATTTTATTTTTTATTTTTGATTTACAGCTTGATTTCACACTGTATTTTCGGTACAAGTATGGAATTTTCAGCATGGATATCGGTAGCCCAAATTTTGCAGGCCGACCATAGATATCAGGTGTGCGTCGGTGCGGGCTCGAATCCCGGAAATTCCAGCACCAAACACGACACTTTTTTCGTCCAACTTTCGGATTCATAAACATTTCGCACCCTGGACCTACAGGTTACAAGGCCAACCAGTAGGTTGGAATTCCGTGCCCCATCAACTATCACTCCTGTCAATTCACAATACATATATGGCCCGGTAACGATATCTCCAACACCAGCTCATTGGCGAATACTACCTAGATATCTTGAGATGTCAAGGTGCAGTGGATGCTCATCCATGGAATTGGTTGGTGGTAGCACGTCTATACGTATCACCAACTGAAAGAAATTAGAATTCAAACCCAACCCACTTACTGAATCGTCAACAAGCTCAGCCTCATAACCTCAAGGTCCCGGATTCCATTCACAGTTAGATAGATGATCACGGATACGCACTGTTGAATAGACAATCTCAAAACCGGAATGGCCAAACAGCTGCACAGTGCTCTCTACTTGATTTTCATTGACTCACTCCCTGAATGACGTCTTCCAGTTTGTGACGAAATATCTCCACTAGAAAATTAATCCAAATCCTCACATAAAATATCCAGAGTCTAAAGTATCTGTCAACTTTCATAATAATCAATCGATAAAATCCTCAGTTGACTAACCAATTTGAAATTTACACAGTTCCAGGGGGTGGTTATTTCAACACTATAGTTTCCTTTGAAAACAAAAATTATTGTCTAAATCGAGACATCTAATTTACTCCATACTATAAGTCTTGGTTTCATCACGAGCTAACATCATTTAGAGAAACATTGGAAAACCAGTACTGGAGTAGTGGACAGTTGCTTTGTCCTCCTTCTCCGGAACTCTTCAGCGGCTCGCATCCTTTCGTAGGCATAGAACCCATGGCGTTCCGACTACAACGTGAAAACGTACAGCATTCAGCCACTGAGACCTGATGAGATGACCAGTCTATTAACTCAAACCTTTGAATATTCACCGTATATATGGCGTCACCACCGTCAGTCAAATGTTACCGGTGAGTAACTTGTCCTCTTATCAGACTGGGTGGACACCGCTGGTCATAACTTCTACACCAGAACTTCAGGTCACTTCATGTATACAGACAGTCACTAGTGAGCATCAGATGAGATTCCAGACGCCGGTTTACATTAAACTATACACTACACTCAAACCACAGCCTCGGTACATTATGGCCACCAAGAGATGCACCACACAGAAATAACAGTAAAACAACAACACGTAAAGAAAATAGGGATGGAATAAACGACGGCGACAACATCCAGAAAGCAAATAAGCATACTTGTCAAAATTATTTAACATTTATCACTTCACATTACTTTCAAAAAAGAAAGAAAGAAGAAAACTGAAGCATGTTCACCACCGATTCGGGTTGTAGGCCATATCTGATGGCGTTACAAACCGGCGATTTCAATTATCTCTCAGTCTCCAACGAGGTAGTTTTCATTTACCAGCTGACGCTAACCTAACACAAATGTCCTTCATCCCATGCCACCACATCATGGATTGATCAGCCCTCCGATTTCCTCGTCCAGTCTAAGGGCTAGACAACAGCCACCGGTATGGAAGTTTCTCAGATGACACTCAATGGAAAGTGACCACATCTGTGTCCAAACACAAACTGTCGAACCTCAGAATTACAGTTAGACATTTCGTCCGTCACACCTACGCTATCACTCTCACACAACTACCTATGTGCACCAACTCGTCGACAACTCCAAGCAGTTCACCTGAATGGCTGAGCCAATCTTGTAACATTGATTTCCACTTAGACAGGGCAAAGCACAGATCGTACCAACAGACACTTGTCACCATCTGATTTCGGTAGCCTACATTATATCGGATAGTAAGACGATGACGACCTCGCCGCCGTCTACACACTCGATATATAAATGCATGTATACAGCGAATTCGGCCTACGAAGTTACCAGTTCGCCAAAGTAGCTAGTCAGTCAAAAATCCTATTCGTTTGAAGGGATTCAGCTAGTTCTCCCTCTCCCTCACCCTCTCTCCCTGAGACAAACACGGTGTACACCGATGACAGATAAGCTCGGTCTCAAATCAAGTGAAACAGCCGCTTAAATGACATTCAGATAGATCACCTCAGTCACGTTGGCTACCAAACACTACAAGTTGAAATGCGAAGCAGCTACACAACTACTCACTTCAATCAATCAGTAGTATATGGGTTTATCATAATTATTCTTCCAGTTCTCCTATATGTATGCCTTTGAAAGCTGATTAGTCATCACATGATTGTGACAATATACAATTGTCTTTTCTCAAATAGCTAGAATCTTCTCATTCATGTAACCACAATTAACTAGAACGATAATCACAATTTACTCGGTCTGGAGTGGCAAGAGAAAAAACGCCTCATCTCTTCACTTTCGACATCATGAGGGATCATACCACACTATACACTATACAGTTCAAAGTGTGGACTGTTTGGTTGGTGGGGAGATGGGATGTAACAAAATCAAAACACGCATAAACCCTCGAAAAGATAATCAACAATACCCACTAACAGTCAGTCACTGTAGTCTACTACACCTTTCGACCACAAAGTAAGTAGTGAACACAACTCAACCAAACATACATCAGTCAGTCAGTGAATGAGTCAGCGAGTGGAAAAGTGAATGTGATTACAGTTCAAAAACAAACAAAATGCAACAATGTGAATCGTAATCACTTATCAGAATGTATAAATTCAGTAGTTAATATGATCAAATAGTAGGATTATACACTGAGAGAAAAAAAGACAGATAGATGATAGGGTCAAGTTTCAATTATTACATTTCATAGATTTAACATATACAAGATTGAAGATGCACTTATAACCAGACACCTGACAATCAACTAGGAATTAAAAACAAACAATACAAGTAAGGAAGAGACTGCAAAAACCAACAGTCAGTCATCCATTAATGCCAAGGGTTTCAATGGGACCCCACCACCACCTAACTCTTTCACAAACTAACCTCTTATGTCACCAGCTAACATTCCTCGCCAAGGAAAGCAGTGACTTGCAATGCACAACATCCATCCTAGCCGGCTATCTTGTTCGATACACAACTTCACACAACCTGATCAGTTGACTTGCCCTCCTCACCACACACAACACTCCACACAACTAGTCACTACAATATTAGTAAACAAATCATACCACCATCTACTAACACACGAAACACGGAACCTAATCACCTATGGTCTAAGACGGCCATCCTCTTCATATACCCTCCACTCTCAACGACCATCCGGAAATCCCTAAAACATTTATTTATTTGCAAAACTTAGCTGAGACTGTATACTACTGATCGAATGACACGAGTAGTTGGATACCATGCACACATCAACCAGTAGTACTCACAGCCAAATCGAAGCAATCTAAACACCACAGGATGATGACCGTTCCACTCCTTTGCAACTGAGCTCATCAGTCACAGGTGTCCAAATTTTGACTCAGCTCACAAGTACAGTCGAATCCATTCAACCCACCCGAATTATGGCTCGCTAGCTAGCTAGCTAGCTAAATTCAGAACACTGGTAATATGTTAAATTGTCATCTGAATAATTTTCATTTCCAAACGAAACTGTGGTGGTGGAATTTCATCTCCTCCACACTTTATGTAGATCGCGAAGCCTGAATTTGATTTAGCTAAAACTCTCAAATGAAGATGATAGTGACAATTACGATGGTGATGAAACTCCTCAAGAGAACTTACATCAATCATTCAATGAAATCTACTAACATATGGTTACAAACTACACTAAATATTTGACGGCTGATGATACTACTATCGCCCAGTTGACCACCTTAAAATACGCCGAGTCGATTTCCAATCCCGGACCCACTCACTACATCAAAGTCAAATAAGTAATCAAGCCGATCTCCGTCTGGGCTACATTTCCACAAGGAAATCGACCAGTGGCAATCATTCTTCTCTAAGTCAGATAATTTATTAATTAGTAGACTTTAGGTGTTCTCCCTTCAATAGTTCTTCACTAATAAAATGGTCACCAGCCACACACTACTCACAAACTCCCCTTAGCCGTTAATAGTAAAACGGTTAAAGAAGAAAGGCTAGGAGCTGCACGGAAACTAACTTCACCCCGTAGGGAAGAACAAACAACACTACCAAAGCTCCACGCTTCAAGCCCTATGTCCCACTCGGAACGCAAACCAATCAGTGACTGCCTGACTGACCATCTTTCAACACACAACTCTGCACACAAGTAAAGTGGAATCGCTTCAAGTCGACACACACTCCATCTACCACACAGAGCTAGTCAAAATCAATTCAAAAGAAATACAATCAACAGAAATACACGCCAGAAAGACAAGTAACATCGAATACCCAACGAATCCAGGGGATAACAAAACACGAATGCATATGTGTCATTCAGAATGGTTTCCAAATATACCACTCATTATCTCCAGCATCTCGAGGACCCACAACAGGCAGTATTCACCTCCTTACGTGTCTCACTCAAACCCACTGTCAAACTATTCATGCATGGATGACAGCATTTCCACCAATTCCACAACCCCAAACTCTCTTACAACCTAATCCTATGTCAGCTAGCTAACACCGCTCAACGAGAAAAACGACGGTTCGCCATGCGTAACACATGTCCTTCTAGACATCTCAATCCATGTGTCAAACGAATGACGGAAAGGCTTTCCTACTTCTCCCTCGCCTTCTCCTTCTGCTTCTGCGCACAAAACGCTTGCACTGTGAACTTCACCTTTCCCATCAGTGAGTAGCCAGAAATCAAGTTATCCAACACTTACAAAAACAACTAGCCCACTCATAAAACTTTTGTAAACTTATGTAAAAGGCAGTTAAAAGAAGTCGTCGATTCTCATGACAGTTGTAAGATTGACGACAGTGATATAGGAATTAAATCACAAATCAAGTATCTTGGACTTGTTCTCTCTTCTGATCTCTCCTGGTCTTCCCATGTCTTAGCGATCTCCAGTAAAATATTCCGCCTGACGTTTTACATTAAGAAGTTAAGGCACTCTGGTATAACTCAACCCCTCCTCTTACAGTTCATAAACTCTTGCATCCTACCTATTCTTATTTATTGTTCACTCTCATTTTTTAAAAAGGACTATATCACAATTCTTAGAATGCTGAATACTGACAGTAGGGTGAGTGGTGTCCCAGTGGACCATATAGTTAACTTCGTCGTCGATAGGCACTTGCCTTCGTGCAATAAATTTGCTAAAGGAATTTCGTCTGTCTTGGAGCATCCACTCTACCCTCAGCTTTCACCTTGCATCTCCTCAGGTAGAACAAGAAGTAACTTCAGAAAACTGTATCCTCGCACGTCTGAGTATAAAAATTCTATGATACTATACTTGGCACGTATTTTATGTGATGAAAATAGTGTCAGGCAACAATTAACTAACCTTTCTTCATCTAGTAAATAAACAATTTCCTCCATCCATCCCTATGTACCTTCAAGTTTCACTTTTATTATTTTTATTATATTTATGGTCCTGTTGCTTCTTTGCTTGTTTTACTTTCATAATTGAAAACACCAACTTATCTCTATGACTGCTGTAATTTTTGTTTTTCCCCTCACCATATCATGCAAATAGAACACTATATTCAATATTTTTAAACATGCTAGGATTTCTATACCGCATCGACAATACTGTGTGAAACAAGTCCACGGCAATTTTCACTTGTATAATTATTACCTTAGCTGTTATCATTATGATTATTATTATTATTATTTCCATTTTATATGCTGCGTGTTTTTGACATTACCCCTATTGTAAATGTGGAAAATTTTCTGTGTGATTAATTTTATTTATAATTTGAGGAAATTAGATGCAATATTATGATTAATGCTGAAAATTCCATTCTGTATCACATGTACTGTTTTTGGAATAAAGTGAATCATTATTATTATTCATTACCTCAGAGTTGAACATTTAAACAGAAAACCAATAAACACGACCATAACTCTTAACACCGATTGCATATACCTACCCCATTTGATGGGATATCCCCAATATCAAGCGCCTCATCTGGTCGACCGTTTTGGTGTCTTCCGTTTATGCCCTCTCCACCGCCTCTACGACCACGCCATTTAGTACGTCCACCTCTGAATTGTTTACAAATATTCTCCACCAAGTGACCATCTTCACCCGTAGACATAACTCTTGATCCTGGAAAGTAACTATTGACTTTAGAATGATTAGTACGTGCACGAACACCCTGAGAAGGAAGAAACGAAGCAATATACTGACTGATAAATAGACCAACTACATTATTCGAAAGGAGTAAATTAACCAATCGACACCACATCAGTTAACAAACTGACTGAACGCCAGGAAGTTATGACAGGAATTTTCTTTAGAATAACGGGCGGTGTTCAACATACCCTGTATACTACCTTCTTATGGCAATGAGGGTTAGGATGGCGTCTATTTTTTACAGTTTACAGACTAGGAATTCTGTAATTTTCTCACTCTTAGACAGGCTATATTTTGTCAGACAATTTGTGCGATTTGCTGTCATCAAGCATTCGCTCCTTTATTTCCGAAATTGCGATAGCTAATGAGAACGTCTGTTTGTAACAGCCGGACCGTCCTTTATGCCAATGTACATGGATCGAAGCGGATAGAATACTTACTGCACTCGTCAACCTATCACCATATCACAACTTACAAAACAGCTGTCAGCAACAGTTCTTTCAATCTCAACTGTGAAAGACTTAACAGGGCACAGAGTTCAGAACGCCACGACGACCAAATCAGTAATATAAGCAGTTTATGCACTACTTGTACACTATCATGGATTTGGCAAATCAAGGCGAAAGCACACGGATGACCAATACACCCGAGTTTGAGTGCTAATTATGGTTGATTCATGAATCAGCAGCGATGAATAATTGTACATATGAATTATTATTGTGTGAATACATGGCTCGTTTTCAACTCCTTTTATATCAGATAATAAGAGTTAGTGTGCCTAAAATGAAAACTGCGTGGAACGGGATGCATAAGTGTGTGCATGATACTTCCTAAGCTTACTATAATGCTGAATTAAATCTCACTAATTTTGAAATAATTCTAACATTCAATAGTGAGTAAATTCTGAATCTATTCTGAAATGGATTATTTAAGGGCACACACTAGAACTCAGTGCTGGTTCTCAGCATGATCAGCGCTAATTCAACACCCTGCTCTTTTTCTAAGCATTTTCGAGAGATCAGAACCTACTGGGCTTGCCTATCAGGGTTGTTCCAGGCCTCAAGGGACATATTAAGCATTGACTAGCCTTAGTTCTGAACGAAAAGACTTAATTCAACACCCAGCTCTATTTTTAAGCACGACAAGCATTATTTCAGAACAGAGTAAGTAGACAAAATCTTCATTCACCATAAAAACGCACTACAGAACAACAGTTTAAAATAAATTTAGAATTCTTGTAAGCTAGCTTACAAAGCTAAGCTTAGCTTTTTAATACCTAGACTAGTTTTCACATGAACTTGAGTAGACTGAACACAATACGACAACTCTACACTATCAGGCCATAGGTCTTGATGCACTCTCCAAGCTTTTTGGTGGCTTTCGTCAGTAATTCGCCCAAAGTTCTTGGCATCTACACAACTATCTCAGGTAAGATATGTTGTGTTGCTTTCCTTACCCCAATATATCAAAGGTAGGGAAGAATTTACGCAAGTGATTACTCAGAGAATTAGAACAGACTAGCCAGTTTGGCAAAATCAACGGCACACACGGACACTTACTAAGACTTACCAGTGACTTCAAAATAGCGCCACGACTTCTGTGACGTCTCTCCGATACCCTTTAGTGCAGTATAAGAAATTGCGAAACTAGTAATCTATGAAAGAATGAGGAAAGCATTTTCAAGGATGAAGATTATAGACTCCACACACACGATCCTTTTTTACAGCGGATGGGTTCAATACAACTATAGTGCTGAGTAATCTGAGTGTGCTAATTGTGTTTACTATTATTCCCTTGGGTTCTGAGTGGAACAATCCTGAGTTGCAGCGGATTTAATAATCACCAGTGTATGTTCCCCAGTTGACCTCATGCCATTAAAATATATACCGCTCCAACAGTTTACATATCATTAAGGATGATTTAAACCAATATTCCTGCTGCGTTATATAATAGAGGTTCGGTATTACTTTGAATGGATCGAACTCATGTCAGCCCTTCTCCATTAAGTACCTGTGTTCTCCTTAACCCTCCTTCAACAACATTATTCGTAATCGTAAGCACCATCCCTGAGTGTCTGTTCTGAGAGGTAGTGATTCAGTGGAATATCAGCATTCCACAGCGATAAAGCTTCTATTTAACTGCCGCATTCGCTTCTTGTCTTCTCCAAGATGTCTCCACACTGTTGACGGTGAAAAAGACGATACGCCTAGTCTACTGTTATACATATAACAGTCTCTAACATTTTGATCAGATCAATTCTCTGCCTACAGTAGGATGAAGAGAAGAGTTTTAACCTGTTAGGTAGTTTCTCACTGAAATATTGGTCACATCAGATGCACTGCGTGCAGTCCTACTCCCAACTCTTTCCAGAATGAATCAATCCACTTCGATACAAAGATTGGCTGGAAGAATGCACTTTTCTGGTTTTAATTTACCAGGGATTTCTATGAATTGGTGAAAATTCCACTTGTGATTCTAGTTAAGGCCCTGTGAATTCCCATAAAGACCTCAAAGTGAGAGCTGTGTTGCTTGAATCCGTGTGTAACCGAAGTGAGGTGGTATCCCACTACATCATATATGCCGGGGCCTGACTACCAGATGAATGCAGTCGTACACTTTGCACTATTGATGGTAAGCACCCATCATTTAGACCAATCGAATAAATTTCGGAGATTTGTTTGCAACGCATACCTATCAGTGACATTCTTAAAGACTCCACGAATTCACATGAACTGTGGTGAAGATTTGACCGAATAGTTCCAAAATAATTGGGCGCCGAGTTGTTGTCATCTTAGAAGACAACTATGAGATAAACGGTGAGCCAGGTAGATCGCTGATGTGCAGGATTAATATAAGGAGACAGCGTACATTAGCTTGTCGCACATTACTGTTCGCCGCTGCCCACTTATACCGTCTGGAGTTGATTCTAACCTTCCGTTTACTATTAACGGGGACTAAGTGAATCTGTTTCGGCAGACCTCCATTTATTCCATAACCTTCAACTTTCCTGATCAGTCTTGTGTCAGGAATATCGAAAGCTTTGCTGGAACATATGTAAAGACGTGACTGGGATTCTTATCAACCCTGGACACTATCAAGCATTCCATTTCTGCTGAGAAATCTATGAGACACGAGAAATTTCTCCGGAAACAGTGATTTGTGTTGCTGTTTTCAAAGTATGTCATAATACATTTCTTCCTTACTTAATCGGTATCTCGACGATGTGTAGGTAGGACTGTTGTGAGAGCTGGCTGGTAACAAGCCAAAATTGGAGAAAAACAATTTACGTCAACGTTTACGGCCCAAGTTTGAGAAATTCGCCATCCAATCTCATCGGACTTAAAGTGTGGAAATATGGTTTGCAGATGTATGGCTTCATCTCCTGAAAGACGTCAACAAAGGAAACAGCAGAATAACCTTCGGCAAGAAAACAATCAGAAGCCGTTTCTTCTCTGCTGACAATAATGCACATAAAAATCTATAGATATCACTTGATTTTCTCAATAAGCAATCCGAAGCCCAGGCTTTTTCTGCTGTAGTCAGGATTGGTGTCGCTGATTCCGAACGGTAGACATCTCATGGCTGACTGTGTTTGAAGGAAATAGGATAATATATATTTCTTCCTGTTTATGCAGTGAGATACCGATCGCACAGGCATGGATAAGTTGTTATATAAATTACACAATTTGATGTATAATGGATTTACAGTTTGGTTGTTCTTTCTAACATTAGAGTCAGTCGGAACAGTCTGCTATAAAGTCTGTTTGTGTAGCACATAAAGAGATATAGAAATATTGTCTTTGCATTAACAAAAACCCAGACATCAGATGAATGTAATACAAATATCTGGGAAAAAATAGCTTGAAGTCAATTCTCCTATAAAGCTTTGTTGTGAGCAGCACCCTTGGCTTAAAGTTTATTGATCTATTATGTTGAGATCAGTGATATATTTATCCAACCCTCGGACGAGGGTTGCTATCCTATCCTTTTAGTCTTGAGTTAACCCTTCAGGTAAGACAAGGTGTTTGAAGACACTAGTCTGTAGGTTGGCTGTGTGTGCCTCCGTCTCTTTGGATAGCCTTGGGTGATAGGTTTCCCTATCATTACCAATACTTATATTCCTCCAGGGTATAACATCATTGACAAACATTGAGCAGGATGACTAGTGTAGTCATATTATCATAAAGCATAGAGAAAGGAGGGCCTAGAACTGCAAATTGAGGCATATCACCACTCGATAGTTGCCTTGATGACAATGCGTGTTTAACAATTACTGTCTTCTATCCCTCAGGAAGCCCTGAATTCTGTCGAAGACCAAGTGATTTCGGATACTTACATACGAATCCTGGTCCAAAGTCTTTCTGGAGCCTATGAATATAACATCCAATGGACTATTAGCACAAACTAACTCTTCCACACAGAAAGAAGATCGCTTCTGCATGAGAGTACACTTTCACACCACCCACGGCTACAAGAGAGTAATTGTTAAATTGACTTGCATGAATAGAGGCATTTCTAGTTTCAAGTTACTATTTGAATGTTATTATCCTTGGTGTAAATTACTCTGTTTCTACGCTTGGTTGACCAGATACGTCGTGTGTTTGTTCGTCATCTATATTCTACGATACAAGGACATGGGTGTGTTATCGTTCAGATTTGAGGATATAGCTGATAGGAGGAGGTCAGGAAATGAATTCTGCGACGATTTTCCAACCTAGAGCGTCAACCTGAGAAGGGTTGTAGGCGTACTGCTGTAAGTCCTACAATTCTTCAAAGGGTTGCGCATCAATGAGCAGTCCAGTGTGCTTGGTGTGTGATTTTGTACATATGTTCATATTGTATATACTGAATTGATATCATCTGTCATCTAGCTGTTAGTAAATCTGATTGTTTCCAGACGACTTCCACTTGGATCATCAACCTGAGAAGGAATGTAGGCGTACTGCTGTAAGTCCTACAGTTCTTCAAGGGTATTTTTTCTTTTCGGAATCCACAAAGTTTGATGTGTTGACTGTACTTATGTATGTGTTAAATAATTGTGTGAGTTCCAATCATCGTAATTGTTGGTTAATCTTGTTTGTGTCCGGACATTCCACAACTTACAATCGTCAACCTGTGAAGGGTTGTGGGCGTACTGGCGTAAGTCCTGCGATTCTTCAAAGGAATTCCTTCAAGACATGATCCGCGAGTTTGTGTGTACTGTTTCTATATATATGTGTGGTGTGTTATATCAATCGGTGTTTTTTGGATTCATTCTGTTTACTCGTTGTTTTCGTACCTTGTTGTTATTACATAATTTTGTTAAAATTTTCGTCGTGATAACTTCTGAAGTTGTGTCCACTCTTCTACACCCGTGAATGAATTGATTGATGTTAGAGACAGCAGATGGGTCGTATACGCCGTGGAGGCTAGGCTATTGCTGAGAATGAAATGCACACGGAGATAATTGTTAGCTGCGGTCCGACACGCGGGGGAGAATGAGTGTAAACGACTGAGGCTCGCATGCGTCACCGCTACTAGAACTGAGGCAGAATGAGTGACAAGCGATTCCAGTGGTAATTGGTAGTGAGTAGATAAGAGGATGTGCGTAGAGTATCGTGAGGTGCTGTTATGGTCACGTTGCATTCTGCAAGAGTCATTCTAGCAAGTGGCGATTGTGTCGCAAGAGGATGCCTTTAACTGGAAGGCACAGGTCGTCATTGATGTGTGAGATTGTGCTGTGAGTATGCTTGTGGTGTGTTGGCTTTTCTGTTTGTTTTCCATTTCAGCTCTGTCCGAGTGACCCAGATTCTCGCAATGGCATCCAAGTCAACGTGTATTGGTCGTGATGGAAAAAAGGGATGGATCGGTATTTTGCCGGGAAGTGTCAATGTAGTTGAAGATTGAACGATCAATTCATGGTTGTTTGCTCAAAATCAACTTCCCCAATTTTCGCGGAGGCATCAATACGACAGTCATCGTCTCATCGGTCGGTGTTCAGTAAGAAGTCAGGAGACAACCGTCATAAGTAATATTGTGATTTATTATTGTAATATTTGTTCACAGACCTTAGTTGTAACATTGTTTATATGTTCGTGTAACAATAAAGAATCCTCTTTTCATGAATTAGTGTTTTGGTTTTTTCGTCCGTTATTACTAAGCGTTTCTGAGAAACTTCAAGGAACAGTGTGAGCCCGAGCGTAGCAAGAGCTGGGCATTAACGGTTTACGAGACATGACTGACAGTGTTAATCCCAAAAATTATGTTTTTTTAGCCCTGCAGACCTTTGTTCTCGAAAGCCATTGTTCTGAACTAACACTTACAATTATTTATGTTATATTCAGTTCGACTGTGATCGGTTTTGTACCAAAGATGCTAAATCAATGTGCTCAATTATTGTTTTGACCATTAAGTAACCATATCCCTATAGATTATTTAGGCCTGTGGCTTAGTTAGTCGCTTGGGAGATAGTCTAACGTAAGAACGGACAGCAGAAATTGCAAGGGAATTGATCTTACGCTTAATTTATGAAAAATAGTTGAAAAACTTGCCTAATCCATAAACTCCTAGGACTAACATTTGTGTGATCACTACTACGACGTCAGAATCCGTACATTAGGATGACTACAGGCATAATTTGAATACTACGATTTAAGACAACTGTACTCCTAATACTTTCTTTCCTACTTTAAAATCTGGCTATCGCCATTTGCTGAGTTGGACAGTATTTGAACTAATCTCTATAGTTTTCAGTAGATGAAAAGTGACGAAGCTTATTCGGGATACTAATTTAAGTACATGTCTTCAAATCTCCTGTGTAATTTTATTTGTGGCCGC